ATGGATTTCTCGAAAGAGACCTAAAGAAATTTCTCAAAGATCACAAAATCAGACGAGAACATACTATTTTCGTCCCTTCATATAAACAATTGGTAGTCTCAGACGATACCACAACTTTAGAATCACGTCCTAACAAACGTAACATCAACGACAGAAGGAATTTATTTTCCTCACATATAGATACACCACAGAAACGATCCCGTCTAGTACCAAATAATGATTATGACTCTACAGAAGCGGGACCGTCAAATTCGAAATAGTTTATTTTATATTTAGATCTATCATTTAGAGTCAAATTATCCTTTTTCAAGTAGTTTAATCTACAATTTTTTTACATTTTTTTATACACATATATATATTTTGAACTTTACAAACAACTTAAAATAGTGTGAATCATTCCACCTCTTACAGTATTTACAGGTGGCGGCCTTGGCCGAAAGAAAAATACGGATCTTTAATTTTTATATTTCAGATTGTATACTACTCTAGAACTATTAATTTTCTATATATATAATTGTTTTATTTTTAGATTCTTTTTCTACGGATGGGTCTTTAGGTTTTCTTTTTTTTCTTTTCCCCATTCGAAGTATTAGCGTAGTTCTAGTAGTTTGAATAGTATTGTTCGAAGGGTGGGGTCCCGTAGGGGATTAATTTCCAAAATTCTATACAAGCCTATTTGTACCATCATGTAAATGATGTTTTAATCTTATTTTGTAATAGTTTTGGGAGTACTACTCTTTTAGTAATAAAATAAATAAATAAAAAAATCGAAATCGAAAATCGAATCATCAAATCGAATCTTTAATCGATTCTTAAGATTCAATTTTCGATTAAATCAATTCTAATCCCTATTCCGGAATTATGAGCCTTTTACGGAAAAATGACGAAATATAAAAATGGATGACTTTTTTTACAGGGTTCGTTCTTTTGTCCATTCCAAACATATCTTGTTCATTTCATTTACCAAGGGTTTTCTCCTGCCAACTCAGCCACAAAATCCTTCTTTGTGTAGATAACGTTATATAGTACGAGAGCATACATTGGTAGATGATGTTGATTCAACAAATCTATTACTAGTAGTTAAAACATTTAGAAGTTTTTCTATCTTTTTTTACTAAACGAACAAGGTGACAACGCTGGTGACATGTATTTCTTTCAGTTAGTTTGAGCTGTGATCCAGGACGTAGAGGTGGGTTTATCTCACCAGTATTTTTGTAAAATGTAATAAAATAACTCTATAGACAGTACTTTTCTCAAAATTTAAAGTATTATAATTATATGAACTGGGATTCCACATCTCCAACGTTCTCTTCGCTTTATGGCCATTAGGATGGAAAGAGAAAAATAATAATTGCATTACATGACAGTAGAGATTCCAACGAGAAAAATCAAAAAAAAATTTATATTATGTCGATATGGAACTTTATATATAAAAGCCCCAGGAAAAACAAATAATAGTGAGGTATGTTTAAAATTGTAAATAGTTTTGAAAAT